AATACTCTCTCATCGATTTTTATCATAGATGGGTAGAAATTAGAGTTGGGCCGATTAGCCGCCGATTAATCGGCCTATTTGTAGTCACCGATTAGTCGGCGATTAATCGGCTAAAACGGCCAATTAATCAGCTTTTATTTTATTAATTTCAGCAAAGGTTTTTCGTGATTTTCTGGGTGGAAAGTGCGGCTACATTGATATGAGTAAAGCTTTAAATTTAAGAAAAGTATAGTTTCTCTCCGTTGCGTAAACTCACGTCAGATTTATATGTAGGTAAATAAAATAAATAATATAATAAGTAGGTTCATACATAACTTTTATTGAAAAATCAGTCTCACATGTTTTAGTGTTAATTATTCTGGACATAGGAACTTTGTTAAAAAAATAATCTGAGGCAGCTATTTAAAATTTTACAAAAACCTAAGTACTTACTATTTTTATTTTTTTCTAATCGTAATGCATAGTGACACAACAAAATAAAATACTAATAATATTATTCTTAATAAACTTAAAAAAAATTTAATTCTCTCCCTTTGCATAACAAAAAAACTTAATTATTGAATAAAGTTTGTTAAACTATATGCATGTAGATTTTTAAAAGACAAATAGAACATACTTGTTTCTGTACTTAAAACTAAATTGTTGTTGTTTTTGTAATAAAAATTAATTCAAATTCTTATTTTTCTGTACTTAAAATTACAATAAATTGTTTTTTTCCTGTAATGTTATTAAATAAAGAATCTATAATCATCTAATAATTTGTTAAAAAGAAATACTCAATTTGAAAAAGTATTGAATGCTTTTTAGAAAATATTTAATTTATTTATTTATAACCAGTGGCAAATTGTGATTCAAAAGGCCTAAACCTCAGCCTTTTCTGATTGAAGTCAATTTATTTTTGTTCCGTAGATACTAGATATTCCCTGCCTCAGAAAAAAGTCTCTCACTATACACAAAGCTGGCAGGGCAGCAAAGGAAAACTTTGGCTAAACGGGACATTTCTGGATATCTGGAAGAATTTTTGTTCTACCATTTGAATTTATCATGAGATAGGGATCGGCTGGGCCGATTAATCGGCCATTTCTTAACCGATTAATCGGCCATTTCTTAACCGATTAATCGGCCATTTCTTAACCGATTAATCGGCCATTTCTTAACCGATTAATCGGCCATTTCTTAACCGATTAATCGGCCATTTCTTAACCGATTAATCGGCCATTTCTTAACCGATTAATCGGCTAATCGGCCAATCGGCCAAAGTACTAATCGGCCCAACTCTAGTAGAAATACAATCGAAATAATGGTCAGAAATGCTAACATAAAACTAGGTTAGCATTTAGACAACTTTTACAGTAGGTCAGTAATAATATAGCAACTGAAATTAACGACCAAACACAGCTACTCGTACATTTGCCTTAGAATTATATACGTTACAATTACTTAAAGGAGTAACGCTGACTCGTAGTAACAAAGAAAACAGGAACTAAACACGAAAGACATAAACACGACAGTTCCGTGCAGAATCTAACTCCAAACATAATATGTTCAAGTTATAACCTATAAAACGGTCACGCAAGGCCTACGACGGACCTATTTTGCAAAAGATTCCGGCTGTAAGCGCCTAATAAACACAATATTTATAACACATATACGCTTACCTTTTTGGAGTAATACACTGTGACTATATGATGACTAGAATTTTAATTAATTGCTAAATAGTTGTTTTTATTGATTATTAAGGAGCTGGATTTTCCATCCATTATAACTCTGGTATGAAGTAGATGACAGACATATATTTACTGGCGCCACTTTTCCCACGTCCACAATGAAACTCTTGTTAATGCAAGGATGAACGAAGGTATTTACTCAGTCAAACGATCTTCAAGACGAAGAAGAGAAGTCGCTAGCAGCACAGCGATCATTTGTGCTTCTATGTACTCGTATACTACTAGATCGACAATTCGGAACCAAAACTGTGTCACAACTGTGGATCACGGTAAATATGCCACGTTATAAGTAGAAATTTACTAAGATTCGAGAAGCTCAGATAGTTTTTGACAAATGAGCTCATAATCCACTTGATGGTGAGTGGATATGTTGGAAATCAGTCCTCGATTAAGAATCAAAATACAGATTGCGTTGGCATCCCCGAGGACTAAAATGGAATGCATCGCTTCTAGTAAAAAGGGTCTCCGACTCGCTACACTGACCATTAGAAACATGACAGCATGAAACTACTATTTTATGACGGCATTCCAGCCGACCCATTCTTGCTACAACCATACTACCTATAGTACAGCGTGCCTCTACCACGTAGGTATACGTGGTCATTACTTTCTTACTTTCATAAAGGAGATCAGATAGTTTAAATAATATATTTAAATCCTGCCCACACACAATTAGATGTGAAGTTATGGACACTGGCCTGGCTAAATTAAATTCAATCAAAATACGTCAGATACATCTGGACGCTACGAGTGCTATTTACTCGCTACTCACCATCGTGGAAAGTCAGTGGCAACGTTTTCCATACTCCACGAATACAAGAATATTCTGCATACAAATGCTAACATTCAGTTCGTTAGAGTTAGACATGTTTGGTGGAAAGGCGACGTGCACAAATAGGCACGGCTTAGCGCGGGTCGATCGGCTTGCGTGTGGCTAGAATTGTTGTTTATTGGTATTACGTTCTTGTTTAGCTGCTAGTGATGGGAAGGTTTAGTGCAAGACCGACAGCCGGTCGTTTTAAATAGCGATGACATCAGATAATATTACACTAAACAAATTATACTACTTCTTGATGCACTCAGCTGTAGGTATTTTCATCGAGGATTAAAGATCATTAAAGTCAAACATCTATTGGAATTTCACTTCCAATCGATAAATACATAGATATTACGAGTTACAATTTTTTTTACATAAATGAGTTCACGATTTAGATGAGGAAATATTGATAATATTGACGACCGACTGTTGTGTTGCCATTCTATGTTATAAGAGATAGGGACTATAACTGTTCTACGACTGAAGGAATCGAACAAAATAACTAAGTAAGAAATTATAATTTCGTAAAAGACCTAATTTTTTAATCTAGAACCGTTTTAAATTCGGTTCCTCTAACGGAAAAAACTAGAAAAAAATGCCGTGGCTATACTTTTGTAATTATTCAGCTATGCTGACTAACTCGTTGCTCAGGCATAACTTAGTCATTGGTTATTCTGTAACAAAATATACGGAACGGCCACGGCAAGCACATATAATCTCGATCTTTATCTCTAGTCTTTTCGGATTGCTGTAATAGCGAGTGCATTAGGGACAGAAATTTGGTTTGAAGGGCATTGACGTGCATTATAGAAATATATTTTTTTTTAATACACACTAAAATTTAGTGCCCATTTTGGGCCACTAATTGAGATCAAGATTAGAACATCACTCGTCGCTAGACACATTGCGGCCGAAACTTCTGGCTTTCGATTTTTTTCATGCTCCACTGTGTTCAACTGCTGCGTATATCATCACGAACGAAATTAAAATTAATACGCTGTTTCATTCCTGCCTAAATTGTTTTATATATTCGGTCCTTTTCTCACATGTAATTGAGCTCGTTGTCTTAGTTGGTTAAATTGTAGATATCGATTTCATTTATTACAGTATTAAAACAGAGGTTATTTTGCAGTAAATTGAAATAAATTAAAGTTGATATTGAATTAGATTAACATTTGTCTTTTGGTGTCTCTGCAAGAGAAGAAAGTAAGTCCCGCATTGATACTGTTATAGACGGCTTATGGTGTCAAACGAAATGTCAGGTAGATCTCGTGTAGCAGAAAGCGCGAGGTGTTTAAAAAAGTTCGAATAAATACTCGTGTAATACTCAGACGAGAAGTACTGCCAAAGATGTCGGTGATTACGGTTATTACTTCATCGTATGGCTAGGAACAAAGAAAGAAAATATTTATTTTGCCACATAACGACCACGGCATATTATACATATTTCCCATATACCTACGTAAAATATAACAAAAAGACGTTACCAAATGTGATGAAAAGGAGCTGTTCTCGGCATTTTGTCCCATTTTATTCCATTGAGAAAAGCGCATTCACTTCAGTTACCACAGTAGTGGACAGATACTAATTTTATTGATATTTCAATTAATTCATTTAATGCAGTCTGTCACAAACACACTGGTGAACATAAGTTTGTCGCAGAGATTGCTTAATAGGGGATAATATAGTTGAGAGGGACACTAACTAGCAACTATTAACAGGAAGATGCTGCTGCGCATCTAATTCAGTTACCCTCTGTCTCCTACTACGCCACCTACGGATGATATGGAGTGTAGTGGATTCTCTGAAGCCGCCACTTTTCGGTGAAGAGGACTGATATAAAAATACTTTAAATACGGCGGTGTTTTACCACCTCGGAGCACGTAAAATAGTTGGGCCTGTGCCTGTTGCCTCCGGTCGTGTAGTACATAAGTAGATTACCGTCTCATCGGACTATGAGAGTGAGGGAATAGAGGCAACACCGGTGTTTGTGCACTTTCTATTCCCTCTGAAACCAGACACTGGTCGCCGTGACCAAAATTATGCCTGAAGGACATTATTATTTTGAATACAGGAGAACAAATTGTTTAAAATGAAAATAAATGAGTTAGGGTGTAGTTTTTTAATTTTCGAATATTTATTCTTACTGTTCTTATTACCTACTTCTTTTAGCGCGGAAGACTCCAAAATCTCTAACCTGGTTTTGTACCGGTTCTTGTGAACAGTTATATTAATTAACAACGACATAATTACAGTGAAGTTGTAACGATTCAATGAACTAGACGTCTTGGTACAGAGTATTTGAATACTTTTAGATAATATTAAGTATATTTTCCAAGTTTATCTAAGTGATCATCCCTAAGAATGTTTTTTCTAACGAAAAGCAAAGGTCGGTCGCTCGGCCAAGATACTAGTACTACTCGTAATTATAATGTATGTAGCTACATGTGACTTACCGGAGTCGTCATCGTGTCCAGTGTTGAGCTGTAGCGCCAGGGATCGCAGCTGCTTGAAGACCTGGACAGCTTCGCTTCTCAGCCAGCTGTCGTCCTCGTCCTCAGGTTCGGTCTCCATCTCGGCGTGTAGCGAGCGGGCCGTGTCCGATTGTTCAACCGGCTCGGGAGCCCCGATCCTCTCGGCCAACGTGTCATGGGATCTTTGCAGTCGCTCCAGTTCCTTGAGCGTATTCTGGTAGAGGTGTTCCTGATGAGAAATTAAGTCTGTCACTTAAATGTTATGGGTTGGATACTGGATTGGAGTTAACCAAGTCGAAAATGCTCGTATTGGGAGTGGTTTACAACAGTACTTGTAGGGTGGAAACCACAACTTTTTGTTTTCGCAGTCCGCACCCATAATGAGTAGGCTACTGCCGAATACATTTTTTATATAAAAAAGGTTCATTTCCTCTTAAACAGCTACGTTTAAAATCAGCTTTTGATAGTTTGATACACAATCGATAATGAGTCATATTTAAGTTAAATTTGAATTAAAGACATATAAATTGCAAAATCGACTATGCACTTTGATAAAACTAGCTCTTTTATGTATGGCCGTGGAAGGAAAAGGGTAGATCTCCCGCCGGGATAGGTATTCAGTAGTTCGAAGCTATTATATATATACTGTTTTACTTCGGAACTTTGATAGCGCGATTTAGGCTTCGAAGTGTTTCGCTTGTGGCGCGACGACAGCGCACATATGATATTTTATGACAACATCAAATTCATGTGTCAGCAAAGCAATCATAAATTCATTATTGACGCAATCCTTAAGGCTGCACACCGATACATGTGCGTTTTTTTTAGAACAAGAGGTCCCCTTGGGATGGCTTTACAGGTGGACTGAGTGCTCGTGTATCTTAGTTTTCAGCTAAGATAGAATGCTTCGATACCAGTAAAAAGAGTGTCCGGTAGACGGTGTTATAACCTTCTTACTAATGCTAGATGTAAAATACCCGGACCGGAGACGGGTAGCAATTTTAAAGATGCAAGACGTCTGGAACAAGGATCGCAAGTCGCCTGCCAAGTGTTACGATTAAAGAAAATTTCTCCGTGGTAGGGCCACGATGCAGCTATATTACTGGTATAATTGTAGCACAAATGGGTCGGCCCAACCGGGAAAAGACCACGCTCTCACAGAATCCCAGCGTAAAATAGCAGCTCAATACTGTGGCCCATAGACATCTACATCTATCCTCGATTACGAATCAAAATGTAAATGCGTTGCCACCCATGAGGACTAAGATGGGATGCCTCGTTTCCAGTAAAAATGGTCTCTGGTTCTCTATACCATACGAAACACAGCAACATTAAGCTCCTATTTTACGGTGGTATTCTGTGAGATTGCTAAATCGCTTGCCTAGTGAGGCAAATCTATGGAGGCCCCAATGTACTTACACATCTATAATGCTATAGTATGTAAACGTATCGATATAAAAACATTTCTGTATTAATTTCGCAAAAAATTATTAACTTTCATTTTCATTATCGGATCAAACAATCAAGAGCATTATCACTGCTTACCACCAGGTTGGATTGCGGGCAAGCATAGTATTATTATTATAAAGTCCATTCTTTAAACGATTCGTGTGTATAATATTACATGCATATTTATTATGTTTTTATTCAACGGCTACAACGATTTGGATCATCGCCATCATCATTACAGCCCTTCACAAGTCCACTGCTGAACATAGGCCTCCCCCCTCCCCCAAGGAATGCATTCATCGACTTGCTACATGCGTTACCAGGTCGCCACTCCAACTCGAGGTTGCCAATCGGAAGCCTTTCATTTTTTTATAAAATGCATTTTGAATGCATCCATATACCCTCACACCTGTCACGGGAGGGGTAGGCGGGCAGGAGGCAGGCATGGAATTCCATTTGGCACGATCCCGACCCATCTCTTTCGCCTCCTTTACATCGCATACACGCTCGTCGGTTAAGAGTACTCCTAAACTGGCCCATTTTCAACATATCGCCAATTTGGTCGATAAAATTCCGCCTAGGGCGTTCATTCCCGACTCTACCGTTCACATCTGCAATATAAATTTGCTTAGTTTTCGTTTCATTTTGGATGCAATTTGCCTATATGCTATAGGTGATAGGTATGCAGAAAAATATATTTTCTTATGCTAAATGAGAATTGGAGCGAAAATAGTATACAAAATCATTCATGGAATAGAATGTATGTAACGTATTTTTTTTATTGCATTATAACAGGACTTGCAAACTAACGGCCCGAAGCTCGGTTACTTGATATAATGATATTCTTGTTTTCATAGTAAAAGTTTATTTACTGCTACAATCTATCTAAAGTCTACTGCTCAACGTAGGCCTTCCCCAGAGATAGCTTAATAGGGAGGATATTTGCCATAGTTGCCACGCGTGGCAGCCAGGTTGATAATTGCTGTTCTTTTTTTTAATTTTTTTGGTCGTTTTAGAAAGACGCTACTGCCCATCTCCTGGATTGTTTTCTTCTACTTCTGTCGCCTTTTATGACACCAACGGGAGGATGTGGGTTAGTTTATATTCTTACACCACCACTACACAGTAATTTTTTTTATTTACATAACAAAATAATTACACTATAAACTAAAATTCAGCCCTGCACCGTCTGCTGCAGTATCAATACGCAGATTCCGTTGTCTTGCTGCATGGCTGTACTTAGACTTTGAGCGTGAAACAGCCCTTTTGTCTCCAGCGGTGAATTGCAAAACATATAATAAGGAAATGTTATTTGGTGACAAAGTTAATTTGTTGATAGACTATTAAAAGACTTTCACGACCTTACTTACTCAGTGACCACGCAGCCTTGTGGAACACCAGCGTTAATGGGCTTGTAATCGGAGCATGAACCGTCTACTACAAACTTGATGCTCCGATCTGCAAGAAGACTGGTGATCCAATTGCACTATTTCTCGAGAAGCCCATAGGAAGGAAGCTTCGTAGGAAGCGCTGTGTGCCATACCCGATCGAAGGCCTTCGCTATGTCCAAACTAACGGCCAACGCCTTGGACTTGGCCTTGGACTCTACTGCCTCCGCCTATATATGATTTAGGTAACCCAGAAGATCACCAACAGAGCAATCCCGACGGAAACCGTACTGGCGGTCACTAATCAGCTGGTGACTAAGGTACCGCATGAGTTGACAGTTTATAATGGATTCCATTATTTTGGAGAACAAACAGGTGATCGTACTTCCCTTTTTAGGGATTGGGTGCACTAAAGGCCCGGGGGGGTTTCTTCATTGTTCGGGTTGGATGTTGTCCTTTATTCTACCCTGTGGTAATTTAAAAAAAAAAAGCTGCCTTCCATGATTTCGGGACTACGCCTAGGGAGTTGGACTAACGGAAAAACGCGTACCGATGCCAACCACGGAGCACACGTCTTCAGCAGAATAGGAGGGACGCCATCAGGCCCACTGGACTTGTTGACGTCCAGGGAGAGGAGTGCTCTACGCGCCAAGCGTTGGGTAAACAGCACATTCTGCATGGAGCGCTCACACTGCGGATTGCTTAAGGCGTAATGCAATTTTGCAGGAGCGACCACGCCATGGCTGGGTGCTGCCTCCGATAGGTACCACAGATGACGGAATAAAAAGTTCCATTCCCTGTAGCATCACATCGGTGACAGCATCAGCAACAACGCTGGGATCAACCGGCGATAAGCAAACCCAAAGGTAGAATAGGATGCAAAAAAAATTGCATTAGTATTCAGTTCGAGTAGAATATTATTCCTGTTGATTTTAATATTTTTTTATCTGAAAGCTGGTGCTTTTCGTGTGGTCTCATATAATTTTTTATCAAGATCTGACCTGTAGTCTTTGAGTTATCTTTAATAATGCGTATTTAATTGACTTCGATTACATGGACTCGGTCGTATTGAAGTCGGGTGTACAAAATTTTTAATTTTACCACTTGTTTCGTAATACATTACTTTGTATTTACCTTTCGTAATACATTAGTTTAGTCACTGAATAACGTGTGTGATTGGAGAACCAAGTAAATGATTTATTTATCTATCTATCCATCAGATATCTAAATAAAAAATGCACTTTTGTATTTCATTTGACAACCCCAGGTTTAATACCGTTAGAGTTACTTCAAAGTATTAGACATTTGAATAAAAACCCTATAAAATTATTTTAACCAGCACGTTGCCTCTTCTCAATGGGATTTACTCGAGAGATTACGACCGGCTTAATTGGAATCTATTGTTCTGTTAAGTACGGATGTTGCTCAAAATGGCGGTGAAAGGGAACACTATATTTTAGGACTTTTAAACAGATTATTAGTAACGTAACTTTTATTAAAAAGTAATGTCCGAGTTCAAAAAACTACCGCTACAGCCTATTATAAGTCCACACGTGAACATAGGCCATCCTCTACATATTATATCACAGCGGGGATATTTGCCATAGTTGCCATTCTTGGCCGGCGGGTTGGCAACCGCAGTTTTTCATTTTTGGTCATCATTAGGATGACGCTACTCCCCATCTCCTGGTTTGTTTTCCTTCGTCACTACACGACTAAAGAACTAAAAAAAAAATTAATTTCCACATTACAGCTTCCGAATTCTGGATTTGTAATTCTTCTGTATAATATATCTTGTTTGTCTTGGAAACTTTTTTGACACTTTTAAGTTAACTAAAAAATATCACAAGTCGTAAATAGATAAAATAGATAGGTATATTTTTCCTCCAATATTTTCATATTAAGTATTCCAATTAGTATAAATTTTATATTAAGTATAATTATTATATAGTATATAGTATATGTATAGCACTACTTCCCGCGCATCTGAGCGTTTTTTTATCGTGATTTATTATAAGTTCTAGTGCTTAACCATTATCTCACCTGGTGATGGTGACGGAGCCTTAGAAGGTAAATCGCACTGTCTTAGCATAAAAAAACCTCGAAGACACCCATATTATAACCGGATGGAAAGGCAGCCGGCAAATAATTTCACTCCTTCGCTGTACGCATTAAGAAAGACAAAGCAACCTGTTTTATTCGAATGTCTGAAATATCGATAACAAAGGGGGATAGACCGCAGACCATCCGGTAGTTCTATAGTGAAATAGAGAGAGAAGAATAAGGGCATGTAATTCCTAATCCAACTCTTCGAATTTGGTCACATTTAAAAAAGTTCTGAAACTTATCGTACATACCTGTTCTTTTAACTGCCTCTCAAGCGCTGCGATCCTATCGTTGGCCTCGTCCAACTGCTGCGACAAGTTGTCCTTATCACGGAGGGATGACGTCAGTCTCCTCTCCAGGTCCACCTTTTTATCGCTCACAAGCGCCAACTCCGCCTTAAGCGACTTGAGGCTTTGCACATGGTCCTAAACACAAGACACAAAAGTTACCGTTGCTGCTGCAGCATATCAAAAGTTGGAAGACGCTGCTGCCCATCTCCAGATTTGTTTCACTCTGAATCCAACTTTATAAAAAGAAGGCCACAGATGCGTTGTCACTCTGAGGACTATGATGGATTTCCTCACATCTTGTGATTATGCTGACTCTGGTCATTATCTGCCGCAACACAGCGGTAGGTGCACTGCTGTTGGATTTAACTTGCTTACGAAATCGATCAAGGTATGATAAAAAATACTATTAAATAATTACATCGTTTACTGTTTGAATTTAGTGACCTGACTTCTTTCGATTCGTGGTACTTATTTTGAGAATAGACTGGACCGGACTGAATTCACTGAACTTTGTCGTATAAGTAGGTAATTAAAAAAATATTTGTAGAAGTAATGATAATTTAAAAACAAACATACAATTTTGCAGCTTTGTGAATTTGAATTACCTGAAGGCTGGTCTTTCTCATAGAGCACTGGTCCTTTAGACTTTCCAACTGGGCCAGCAGCTGGGCTTCCGTGATCGAGGACTCCTTGAGCTGCGCGGTCAGCCTTGAGTTTTGCGCTGTCAACTCTGCTATCAGACTGGCTTTCTCTTCCTCACGCTATTGGAAAAAATTATAAAAGCAACAATAAATTATGGTGTATTTAAAAATCATAAAATTGGATATATGTTAGAACTGTCTTCTGCTATTAAAAATTGTTGATTATTAAAAAAAAATTAGACGAACTTACAGCCTGATGGTAAGTGTCTACTGCAGTACATGGATAACTTCAAACAGAGAAAGCTACAAATGCGTTGTCATCTCTGAGTACTGAGATGGAACGCCTCACTGGTTCCCTACATCTTTCAAACTGGAGCACAAGAGTAGTATAAGCAATGCTATTTGGCTAAAAAAAATAGGTAAAAAACCAAGACTTTTTTTCCTCGTGCAACTTGTGTGTGGAATAGTCTACCACCGGCGATTTTTCCAGACCGATATAACTTAGGGACCTTCAAGAAAAGAGTTTACTCCTTTTTAGAGGGCCGGCAACGCATATCTGCAATTCCCCTGGTGCTGCGGCTGTTCATGGGCGGCGGTAGTCACTTATCATCAGGTGAACCGTATGCTCCTTTGCTCGCTCTTCTATAGAAAAAAACGGACTCCTAGGCAGCAAAAAGTCCTACCATCTTACTATAAGCATTAGATACTTTGCCGAATTGTTTTTGAAGCATAGAACAACATAATTTTGTTTCAAAATTGTTTTATCTCCCACTAAGTACATGTATTTATCGTACTGTACCTATCATCAACAGCTAGTCAGAACTTAATCAATAAATAATATTATACATTTTTTATTTATACATAAAAAATAAGTGCAATATTTAAGCTTAATTAACATTTTTACTTTCTTAGCAATGCAAACAATTATACGTAGTAGAACCATGCTGCAGTTATATTAGTAATATACTTTTAGCACGAATGGGTCGGCTCAACCGGGGAACAACCATGCTCTCACAGAATACCAGCGTAAAATAGTAGCTTAATGCTGCTGTATTTCGTATGGTGAGTGTAGAGAACCGTAGACCCTTTTTACTGGAAACGAGGCATTCCACCTAAGTTCTCACGGGTGACAACGCATCTGCATTTTGATTCGTAATTGAGGATAGATGTACATAGATGTCTATGGGCCACAGCAGCCACTTACCATCAGGTGGACTGTGTGCTATTATACTATTTTCGCTTGTCAACCTATCCTATAAAAAATGCCATGAGAAATATCTACGTATGATTAATGTAATTTGGTTAAAGGGAAACAAAATTTGGGAGTCTTACGAAATGCTGACCTTACAACAAGTTGAATCTGATTTTGACTGCCTAAGATTTATTATCGTAACACAATTAATCGAATTGAATCTGGATTACTCAATTATTCGAATGCACTCATGAATCAGGACCACTCCATAAATAAAACTTTATCATGATTAAATTGGGGGCTCTTATTGTTTGCCCAGCGACTCATAAATCTCTTATATTTTGACGCCAAACCGAGGATTCATCAGAAACTTTTAATTACCCAAGCCAACTATCAAATGGTAAGTTAACAAATATACCATGGGATAATGAAACATCATTCATTCATTACATCCTACAAAATAAAAAAAATATTCACGTGGTAGAGCCACGCTGCAGCTATATTGTGGTTGCAGCACGAATGGGTCGGCTCGCCCAGGTTGGACCACGCTCTCACAGAATACCAGCGTAAAATAGCAGCTTAATAGTAATGTGTTTCGTATGGTGAGTGTAGAATACCGGAGAACCTTTATACTGGAAACGAGGCATTCCATCTCAGTCCTCAGATGTCTATGGGTCGTAGCATCCACTTAACATCAGGCGGACTGTGTGCTCGTTTGTTAACCTTATACTATAAAAAAGGTTGTTGCTGAAGAATAGGTATCGCCATAGATTGCTTCATACGGTAGATATTTACCATAGTTGGTAAAAAAAAGATGTTGCCCACCTCATATTTTCCTTTGTCGCCTCTTACGACATCCACGGTACGATATAAGGTATTGGATATTCTTACACCGCCACTGCACTTTTAAAAATTTAGTCATTTTTAAAAACCGATTCTCTAAAATATCCTTCCCTTTTATTTGGGATTCCTGAACAACGGGATTAGTCAAGTTTACTTTCTACAATCGTGTCAAATTAATAAATCAATCAATCATATTATTATTTCAATAGAACCGATCATCTAACGCAGCATGAAAATCCAAATATCAACGGAGTTCGTTTTAGCCGATAAAAAAATTAATCTTAGATGCTTGACCAAACTAAAAGACATTGGTCCAAAACTCCAAACACCGAGCGTGGTGATTCGCTGTAATGGGTGCAAAAACAGTTGTCTAATCTTTGCCATGCCAATTTATCATTTCTACAGAATGATATAGGGTCGAAATAGTAGAATAAATATTTACGAAACTCTTTTCCCTGCTGGTTTCGGAAGGTCGTAAGTGGCCGTGACGACCGCGGGTTGCGACACTTTCAAATAAGACTTAAGTTACGAGGAAAGGGGTGGTTCGATTCCATTTGTTAAAAAAAATATTTTACGAACTATATTAATCTTATAAGAGATAGTTTTATAATGTTCTTTATTTTAGGAATTATTAATTAAAAATAAAATTATTAAGACAAAAGAATAACATTATGCATAGTTTTTTTTTTTTTTAAATTAGCCCCATGCTGTATGGAAGGAAAATGTTCTGTAACATCCAGAAATGGACCGGGATAAAGAAAGTAGAAGCCTTCGGTAATGGAGAGGCACTTAAAGAGGAAGAAGTATGAATAAATGTTTAATATTATATTATATTGTAATATATAGTAACTATGTATAAACAAATAGACAATGTCCAAGTAATCACAAAGCGCTAGATAATCCACAAGCATTTCATCCCATGGGTGTCATAAGAGGCGATTGTGGGAAATAATAGAAACTTCATATGGCTTACAGGTGGTGGTGAGACCATTTCGTATAAACCAGTCGTAAAGTATCCAGACCGGTACGAGGAGCAGTGTCAAGGGTGAGATCATGTGTTATGTAATGTATTGTGCCGAGAGAGGTTTTTTTTTATAGAATGGGGTAACAAACGAGCACACAGTCCACCTGATGGTAAGTGATTGCTGTGGCCCTTAGACATCTGCATCTATCCTCGATTACGAATTTTGCCACTTTGTGGATGTGTGTTTTGTCTACTATAAAATGCAGATGTGTTGTCATCAGTGAGAAATAAGATGGTATGCCTCTTTTCCAGTAAAAAGGCTCTACGGTTCTCTACACTCACCATACAAAACACAGCAGCGTTAAGCTGCTATTTTACGCTGGTATTCTGTGAGAGCGTGGTCCTTTCCCGGTCGAGCTGCAATAAGTAATGCTCCAGTAATATGGCTGCAGCATGGCTCTACCACGTAAAAGCCAAATCCTCCTTCCTATGGGTCCAAGCCATGGTCCAGTCTCATACGGGCCATAGAATATTCGTTTCATACGTTAACTCTAATTAATTCTCACTTTAGCCGTATGTGGGTCATAATATCCATTACCCTACATCGTCCCGTGGGTGTCGTAAGAGATGACCCAGGGAAACTGAAACAGGAGATGGGCAGCACCAAAAGGCGTGGCAACGATGGCAATATTTGGGGAAGACCTATGTTCAGCAATGGCCTTATATAGGCTGCTATGAATAAATAAAATCAAATCTATCTTAAGCCTCGTGACTCTGAAAACCAAGCAATTGTTATACGAAGTCCATCAACGTAATATTTAAAAACGCTAGTCTCTTACGACTTGTCACAATGCGTAGCTAAAAGTCTACCGGCGTTAATAATAGAGAATGTGAGAAACCGACGCATGGTAGCATCCGATATGTAGCTTGGTGACGGGAAGACCGCAAGGTTACCATCGGCTTCCGGCAGGGTTATAATGGCCGACCTCCGTACAAGCCACTAATATTGAACATAACATTATGATATGCTTAAGCTTGCATGATACTTGAGACGAGGACTTTTACTGAGAGAATATATTCTAATAGGTATATGTAATATTAAATAAATGTCATGATAGCATATTAAACTTCCATGGTTAAACCTTCATCCTCCGTAGATTACTTCATAGAGGGGATATTTAGCATAACCGCATTTTTATGATTTTGAGTTGTTATCAGAAAGATGGTGCTGCATATCTCTTGTCTCATTTTCTTCTCTCGTCTCTTAAGATGCTCACACAATATTAAAAAAAAGAATACTAGTAACGTTAAAAACCAATAATATTACTAATACTTATGTTACCGTACAGTGATCTAAATAAGGTTAAAAATGCTTGTTAAGAGTGGTATCACCACAGTAGTTAATGGCAAATTCTGACGATTACCGAGTTTGCAAATTTTAACCATTCCACTTCTGTAAAACCGCCGTATTTCAGGAGCATAGGGCTTTATTGGTTCCAATTAGGTGGAAGATCTATGCTGCAGCTGGTCACACGGGCCTTCTGTCATTTCCGAGAGGGGTTTAAAGTAAGAAAGTGTCCGCCGCACTGCCTCAATGCGTGTCTTCGAAATATTTTTTTTGTTTCTCAGACATGCAAGTTTCCTCACGATGTTTTCCATCACCGCCGAGCACTTGGTAAATCAGCACTTAAAATTGCAGTTACAATTTCATTGGTGCTGGTGGGGATTGAACCCGGGTTGCTCGCGTAATGTTACTTTACAGCAAACGCTAACCATCCGAGCTACCACGGCTGTATTATGGTTACAGCGCAAATCGATCGGTTCCGGAGAAGGACTACGTTCGCACAGAATACTAGCGTAAAATGACAGCGTAATGCTGCTGTGTTTTTAAGTTTATTAAAAACCTTCGTGGTAAAAATCACAGTGCACGCACTGCTGAGTTCCAGTGGTCTAAAGAGATGTAGTACTTCTACATCCATTTTAGTCGTCAGAGGTGGTAACGCACCTCCAGCCTTCTTTATTAGTAGTTGGCTACTGGTATCCATGGGCTGCAGTGGTCACTTACCATCAAGTTGACTGTTAAGTTTGTTTGTAACTTTAATTTCATTCAAACAACCGAGG